CCGCAGAGTGTGTATGAAGGGGCCAGCAGGTGTGACGTGTAGGAAGGTGTGTCTGGACTCCAAGGCTGGTTGCTGGTACTCAACTGACCAAGTGTGGATGGCTTCAGTTGAGATAACCAGAACCGAAGCAAATGAAGAGAAATAGAGAAAAAGAGAGGGGTTTGATACCGTGAACTGGTGTGAACTGTTGAACAGTGGTAATACCCTATGGATAGGATGTTGCTTATAGGAGCAGATGGCTGCAGTTTCAACCAGAATGAAGATTATTCACATTAAGAAACATTGGGGGGGGGGGGAATGAGAAACTGATATCCAGGGCTTAAGTAGAAAGCAAATGCTTTGAGGAGGATGATGGCAACAAATGTACAAATGTGCTTGACACAGTGGATGTATGTATGGATTGTGATAAGAGTTGTACGATCCCCCAATAAAATGATTTTAAAAAAAAATTCTTGTCTCTTCAGAGTACTGTGTTGTTGTGATTAGGTGCCATGTTAGGTGTTGGTAGGACCAGGCAATGTAGATATTGGATATCTAAACTGGTGGTCAAGTTTCAGAGTCTCTTCCAATATCCACTTTGATCTTTTCTTTCTTTCCTGGCCCGTTTGCTTTCTTCATGTATGATGTTCCTGATGCCATCCCACTTTCATCAGAGCTTCTGTCATTGGTCTTCTATGTGTCAAATCTGCGCTGGAAATTCAGGTGGGATACACTCAAGGTCCTATTTTGGCTCGTGTGGGTTTGTTTTAATTTTCTTCAGGTTCAACCTGAGCTTCCACATGAGTAATTGATGCTCTGTTAGCTACTGATATCGAGCCTCTCCAGGCTTTCTTCCCAGAGATGTGATCAATTTGATTTCTGTGTATTTCATCTGGAGAAGCTCACATGTATAGTCACCTTTTGCGTTGTTGAAAAAAAAAAAAAGGTATTTGCAATGAAAAAGGTGTTGGTCTTGCACAATTCTATCATGAGATCCCCAGCTACATTCCTATCACCAAAGCCATATTTTCCAACTACTGCTCTTTCCTACTTTTGCATTCCAATCGCCAACTATCATCAATCAATTTCTGACTAAAGATGTTGGCAGAATTCTTCAATTTCTGACCAAAGATGTTGGCAGAATTCAGTTTCCTCATTACTAGCTTAGTTGTTGGTGTATAAATTTAAATAATATTTGCATTGACCAGATTTCCTTGTATTCAGATAGATGGTATCCTATTACTGACAGCATTGTACCTCAAGATAGATCTTGAAATGTCATTAAAAATTTTTTTTAATAAATCATTTTATTGGGGGCCCTTACAGCTCTTATAACAATCTATACATCAATTGTATCAAGCACATTTGTACATATGTTACCATCATCATTTCCAAAACATTTTCTTTCTACTTGAGCCCTTGGTATCAGCTCTTCTTTATCCTCCTCCCTCCCCTCCCGCCCTTGTGAACCCTTGATAATTTATAAATTATTTTAATTTTTCATATTTTACACCATCCGCTGTCTCCCTTCATCCACATTTCTGTTGTTCGTCCCCCTTGGGGGGTCGTTTATACATGGATCATTGAGATCAGTTCCCTCTTTCTCCCCCTTCTCCTCCCACATTCTCCCTACCCTCGTGGTATTGCTGCTCTCATTATTGGTCCTTAGGAGTTTATCTGTCCTGGATTCCATGCGTTGAGAGCTCTTATCTGTACCAGCGTACATGCTATGGTCTAGCCAGATTTTTAAGGTAGAACTGGGGTCATGGTAGTGGTGGTGGTGGGGGCATTGAAGAACTAGAGGAATGTTGTGTGTTTCATCAGTGCTATACTGCACCCTGGCTGGCTTGTCCCTTCCTTGTGATCCTTCTTTGAGGACTGCAGCCCAAAGTGTAACCACCATGCTCACCACTGGGGCTCCTTCTTGTGACCCTTCTATGAAGTGATGTCCAATTGTCCAAAGATGGGCCTCCATTCTGACTGACCCTCCTCATTCACATAGAAATGGTTGTTTGTTTTGGGCCTTCTGATGCCTGGTACTTGATCCGATGATGTGAAGAAAATAAATTCTAGAAATACTGATATTACAGTATTCTAGAAACAGTATCTGACCCCCTGGTTTCGTATACATTTGTTCTCTATCACACACCATTCTCTTTTTCCTCTAGATTCCATAATTCATTGCAATGGTCACACAAAATACACAGTCAATGCGCACAATTACAATTTATTGTGGAAATGAACTGGTTACAATTCAGGTGGAAACACTCAGGATAGAGTCGTACAGTCAAGACATGTTATAAAGCTGTTTCAGGGCCGCTAATAAGTATCCAAAGGGCATGCCAAGCCACTGGAAACCTACACCCCAAAACACACAACTCCAGCTCCTTGGGTCAATGAACCTTGTCTCCTAAATTAAATATTTTGAGTAATGTCAGTATTTCTAGGATTTCTTTTCTTCCTCATTAATCCTTGTCACAGTGGGTTGTCAGCTCCTATGATGCCATAATGCTTTGTTTATGGAGTCATCTGACATCACTTATATGTTTAAGAATGGGCTTTTAAACAAGGTGAACCTTGGGTGGCAAAACCTGATTTGGAGAGCAATTCTGATATAATAAAGACAAAGATATCTAAAATTATTTATATACTTGGAATGTTTCTATAAGCTTTCTTTTTTCATAGGAACATATGGGGTTTTAATAACTAGGCTGACATGTGATATGCCTGTGGATGGTCATGGTTGCCAAAAGCATTTTTGGTACTTGTATAACTTGTACAAAACCAGGCTCAGTTTTGGCAATACGATGGAATAGGACTCTAACCCTGTCTTTAAATCCATTAATTCAGTCTAGAGGGGTGTTATGTAAAGTTTTCATATGTGCCTGTTATGTGCCTGTTATGTGCTCTATTAAGTATATGAATATACATGGAGCACACACAAATATATATTCACATAAAAAGTCACAGCTATACCTATATATATATAAGGAGCCCTGTGGGTTAAGTGTTGGGCTGCTAACCTCAAAGTCGTGGTTTAATTCCAGCAGCAGCTTCAATCCTAGCCACTCCGTGGAAGATGAGACCGTTCCCATAAAGATTCAGAAACTCTCTAGTTACACTCCATCTTTTAGAGACCTTGAGTTGGAATAGACCCAATGAGTGAGTTACACCTATATATGGGTATGTATAGTCCTCTCTAACCCTCCCACTTCTACTAGCAATGTATCTACTTATGTAATCCGTTCACAAAATACTGTTATTACTGTTATTGAGGTTTGTACAGTGAACCCTCATTTATCGCAGTTAATCGGTTCTAGACCCTACCGTGATAAATGAAATTCCACGAAGTAGGATTCCTTATTTGTAAATAAAATATTTTCATAGTTAGAGCATAGAGGACATGAAAAAACACCCTTTAGTCACCATTACACTAGTATTACCCAATTTATTAAACGAAAAAGGGAAAATACAGTAAAACATTTTGGACATTACAATTATCATTTATTATTTATTATATTATTTATGGTATCAAGCGTGTACAGTATGAGCCAATCAGTGGCAGTAATGACAGAGCATGCGCTGTTACGCAAAAAACGCGATAGAGTGAAGCCGCGGAAGTCGAAGCGCGAAGTGGCGAGGGTTCACTGTATATGTTTCAGTAGTTAGCATAGTTGCCCTTTTTCTTGTAGGCTGCTTGTCTTCCTTTGTCTTGATCCCATCCTGTGTGTTGTCTTTCCCTTCACCAGAATTAACATGTCTTCTATCTAATAATTCTTCTTTCCCCTTATCCCTTGAGAGAAACACGGGGCTCTCTACTCTGGTAAACAGTTTAGAGGCTTGGACACTGACGGAGGCAGATCTACCCTGCTCTGTAAGGTCAATGAGTCTGCATCCACTCGATGGCAATGAGTTTGTTTGCTTTTGTCAAACTTCTTGACTTTTCAAAATTCTGGTTTCATATAATATTTATCCTTTTGTGACTTGCTTATTTCACTTTGCATAATGTCCTTTAGATGCACATTGTTTTATATTTAAATCGTAACAGTGAAATTTCTAAAGACAAAGCCAATAAGATGGCAGACTTTAAGCTTTCTAGAATCAAAACTTTGTACCTAACATACCAGCCAACTTAATTTTTTGCGAGAGAACACTAACTAGGTCCAAGATTTTGGCTTCCTTTTTTTTCCCTATAAAAAAACCCACGACATTTTTAATTCTGGAATAGCTCTTCAAAACACGGCTTCTGATGAATGTTGGCACAACTAGTACATTTCTTGAATAAGTTCCTAATGCTCAACTTTCCTTGCCCAATCATCTCTAGGTTGGATGACCCTGACACAAAATCTATCACACAATAGGTTGAAGAGAAGGCTGGGCCTGACAAAAGGTATTAAAAATAATCACATCTAGGGCGAAATCTCTGGCCAAACTTAACTTCTATAACGGCCAGCACTATCAACTGTCGATGCACAGGAACTGAGGCTATGGGGTAAGGGAGTAGTCATCCCTCGACCACATCAGAAAATCTCTTCCTTCTAGGCAAATCTCGACATTACACATCCAAACAACTTTGCCTATAAATATCCACATGTTCTCGGCGATCAACCTGTGTTGGTCAAACTAGGAATATGAAAAGTGGTCCCAGACGGCGAAGCCCAGGAAGTCATCGCTTGGTAAAGCCTAGGGTATGAAGGAGTGGAAAGATAATTGAAAGGAAAAACTCAAGATCATATACCTGTGGTTGTAACAACAAAACGAAACAGAAAACTAAAGATGAAGCGCCTCTCCAGGAGTTTATGATATGGATGGTAGATTGTGACGTGGTCTATTCAGAATGGGAGGCCTCCCTCTCTCGCGAGCTACTTCAGCGCCTGGGGTAAGAGGCGAGAACAAGAGGACACCGGAGGGGTGCGTTACCCTTCTCTGTACCTACGGTGCGATTCACCCCGCCCCCAACGCATCAGCCAATCGCCTCGCGCCGTCTCCTTCCCACCGGGGGCCCCGCCCCCTCGCCCGGGATGTTAGGCCCCCGCGGCGTGACGCGAGCACGACAGCTCCGCCCCCTGCGTCTTTGGCCTCGCCGGCCTGGGGGGGATGGTTCCATCATGGCGTCAATGCAGGTGAGGGGAGTTTGCTGCAGCTGGGCAGGCGAGGGAGCCGCTGAGCGGTGAGAGTGTTCAGATCGGGGTGGTGTCCCGGAATCAGGGGTGTCCGGGAGGGGCTCCGGAGCAGTCTTAGTAGTCAGTCAGTCCCTAGTTTCGAGGCGTTGAGGAGGGGTGAGAGGCGGCGAGGGGAAGGGCGGGTGGGGTGGGGGGAGGGTCTCGGTCGCAGCGGACACCAGTCGGTCGCTAAGTTGGGGGGCGGATAAAGACGGGCCAGCGAAGGGAGGTTGAAGTTTGGCCTTGAGTCCCTGACAGCGGCGTCGGAGGCTACACTCGGCACACAAACGGCCTAAGCCGGCCGCCGGCCACCCCAGGGATGCCTCGCCTCTGTGGTCCCCTGCCGACCGGCGGAAACAGCTGTTGTCGCTGTGGGCGCTGAGGCGGCCGTGGCCCCCCGAGGGGCTGAGTGGGGAAACTGGGAAGGCACTCCTCCCGAAGGCGACTGGCGACCTCTGCTCCGGCCTCCCACGCTCTGCAGCTCCGCTCCCCTCCATTTGACTCTTAAGCCTTTGCCCTTTGGGTACCTTCTCCCAGGAGTCTGAGCACTCGGGGAACATGCCTTCAGCAGCCCCCTTTTCCACCCCCAGCCCCAAGCTGCGCTCAGTCTATTCTCAGCATCTACCGCCTAATTTAACATCTCTCCGAAATCCGAGAATCACCTAGACCCCTTGCCTCTGGGGATGACTGGCCCTCTGAAGAGTCATTTTTTTGTCTGGTGCCCCACCCTTGCGATCGCGCTAGGGCTACAGCCCTTTGCCCTTCTTCTCCTGCTCTTTCGTGAAACCGTAGTTTGGGAGGAGGCGTGGATAACCTGTGCCCTATCCACTGGACTTGCCAGTGCATGATGTGCTGGCTTTCTAACCCCAATTTACTCGTTGTCGTCCCCACCCCCAATCCAAGGAGGAGTTTGGTTTTTCAGGCAAAGATGGCAACCACGAGTGTAGTTTGTAGAGGTTGACTGCATTATCTGTTGCCTGCGCTTAGTTCACAAGATAGAGCTCAGTCAAAACATAGGGAGAGAAGGTAGCGCTCTCAGGAGGAATTTCAGCTGAATGTTCTTAAGAGTTTTAAAAGCATGTCCTTAAGTGGTTAAAGAAACCATGTTTTTCTTAGCAGGAGTTTGTTTGTTTCTAAAAGAAAAGCAAGTATACCTTAACACTGGCAGTTTGTTCCTTCTCTTCTAGGCAAGCGTGGTGTTTTTCTTCTCTTTCCTGCCTCTTACTCTCTTGTGCGCATCATTTTTTTTGTACCATATTTACTTTGGCTTTCACTTTATTCTTTTCAGTGTGTTCTTCTTAAAATAGACCGCCTACCTTTGTTTCTCTCTCCGGACTGCCTTGTGGAACAGAAAAGAAATTACATGTAACATTTTTGGTTGAAGAGATGCCCCAAAGCTGTGGAGGGAAAAAACAAGAACAATTTCAGGAAACACAGTACTTTATACAATAGCTACCCAAGAGACGTTGGAGAAGTTTCGTCATTTGGGGCCCAAAAAAGGAACTGTAACATTTTAAAATTGAGTGGTAACACCACCCCAAACCACTGTCACCCGGTTGATCTATTCAATTGCTTTAGAGAGCAAACAGCCTTCATTTTCTCCTTAGCAGTGGCTGCTGGGTTTGAGCTGCCTGGCTTGTAGTTACCAGCTCTAGCCAGTTTTTAAGACTGTATTAAGTAAGATGAAAACATTTGTTTTAATACTAAACATTTAAGGTTAAATTCTACAGTACTGCATGATTATGTTTGACAAGTGGATAGAGTGTCATAGGGATATTAAGCTAGTTAGATTTAGACTTCATCTATCTGGGCAAGGGAGAACTTGATGCATTTAAATTTGATGTGGCTGCTTAAGAAGGATCCTTGGTGGTACAGTGGTTATACACCTGACTGCTAACCAAATGAACAGTGGTTCACTAGAGAAAGGTGATTTAAATGGTTGGAAACCTAAGGGGTTTTCACTCAGTCCTATAGGATCGCTATGCATCAGAGTAGACTAGATAACTTTTTGGCTTCATTTTCGGTTTTGTTTTGATCTTGATACTTAAGCGATAGGCAAAAATACTTCCCCCAGGGTAGTGTTACGTTTTTCTGTGTCACAAGTACTACTTTAGACTGTAAAGTTTTTTTTTCCTGATGAAAAGGTTAAAACTCTTCAGAATAACTAAATTATACAGAAAAGCAGTAACCCAATTATTAGCTCATTCATTGAGTTTTAAAAATAATTTTTATGCTCCATTTTGTATTCCTAGCATTCAAATAAATAGATGGCTACGAATCTAGCAGTGAACAAAAGCAAGCAAGATCTTTCTTTCTAGATACAATAGATCTAGTTGAGGGGAGATAGATAGTAACAAAATGTTTAGCAACTGTGTATCAAATTGGAAGATAATAAGTGCTATGGTGAAAAAGAAAGATTTGAGAGAGATTGATTAAGATCATTTTATTAGGGGCTCTTACAGCTCTGATAATCCATACATCAAATGTGTCAGGAATATTTGTACATATGTTGTCATCATTTAAATTATTTTCATATCATACCGACCGCTGTCTCCCTTTACCCAGGTTTCTGCTGTTCGTCCCTCTTAGGGTGGGTGAGGGGTCGATGGAGATTTCAACGTAGATATTTTTAGGGTGATAAGGAAAAAGTATACCATAACACAATGCTGCTGTCTGTTACCTTATTTAAGAACTGTTGATATTTCTAATTATTTTAATCACATCAGGGTGTTATTGGTGTTGAAAAGGGATACATAAATTGTAAGAACTGTATTTTAAAAATAGGCATGTTACATAAATGTTGCATGTGTATTGATAACTTGAATTGATAATGAAAAATTGGGATTAGGAACTTACACTATAGGGTAGAACTGACTCTTTATTGAAGTAGAGAGCCCTTTCTCCTGAGTTTAGGAACAGTTCACTGAAAATTAAGGAATGACTTTGAACATGTCATTAGAGAATATGTACTCATTTTAAACGAGAAATTGTGACTGCTTTTACATATATTCTTTATGAGGGCTTCTCAACTTATTTTCAGGTTATGGCACACAATGATGATAAGTTTTGACTGGCACATGGAGATGGCTGAGGTAGAAGGTAGCAAGCCCCTGGCCAGGCTTGTGTGTGTGTGTGTGTGTGTGTGTGTGGCTATAGAAGGGCCTGGAGGATGAAGTCAAATCAAACCCACCCTGCTATGATTCCCATTCATAGTAACCCTAGAGGACAGAGTAGAACTGCCAGATGGGATTTCCAAGACTAAATCTTTATGGAACAACCCATTCATTTTAGCTAGCTTCATATTGCTTAACCACTGTGCCACCAGGACCCCAGGGCCTCAAAGGATCCATATTGTCTCATGTGATGAAGTTGTACTCTGGATTACATTGCTAGAGTTGTACTATACATACAACTCTATGTATACAGAGTTGTATACAATAATACACAGCTTGAAGTCCTACTTTTAAAACATGTGAGCAGCCCTTTAAAGGCTTCCTCTCCTTTTTCCTTTATCTTTCCATTGTGTCTTCTTGTGACCAAAAGCATGAATCACCATGTAAGATTATGGCTAGATCATGTTTAAGACATCATGGTTAGATCATGTTTAATAGATCTACATTTAATTTTGGGAATTGGAGATTATTAAACGGAAAGCTGTAGCACATTTTTAGTATTTGCTATAACTTTTTTGGTCTTGAATTATAAGAGCATTGCTTAGACAAAGTATGTTTTTTTAATTATAAAAATTGTTTAAAATTGTAACAGTATTGGAGTATCTGCTTTCAGGCAAATTATAAAGCTATTTTTTGGGCTTAATATTTACTCTTTCTTGTAACTCATTTTACATTATACTTAATTTGGCCTCTTGGATATATTTTCTGATTTTAGAATTCAATTGTTTCATTAGCCATACTTTTATAATTTGACCACCTAGGTTTATTGATTTTTGAGATATGAACAGTTTTCCATTAGACTCTCCTTTCATTGTTGTTGTTAGTTGTCATTCTTGATTTCTTGTGTTATGTCCTAAAATTTAAAATCATCAGTGTCTAATAACTGATGTGTGTCAGCCTTACAAGCAGTCAATTAATTGAGAGAGAGTTAATTGAGCCACTTTTTAATGGATTCTTTTCTTTTACTTAGCTGGGTTTTAGCTTATTATCTATTGATCTGGCTAGATGGAAGGATATTGAGATTTTGCAGTAGGAGATGGAGTATAAGTGTTGCTTATTTCTTATTTTCAATGGCCTGGAAATTTATGTTGTGAACTGTTCACAACTCCGTGTTGATCTTTATTCAAGTAATTTGCTGTAGTGACCAACAAGTGGAATATGTGCCCTTACTGACATTGCTGTTACAGTAGTCATGTTCATAACCTTGACGATTAGATATCATATGCCTATTTGTTGATGTCATTGTGAAGGGTTACAGCATAATCAGAAGTTAGGAATTACTCACCTTGGATCCCAAGGCTCACTGAGCAATAGGAACTTGTGCATTTTTACTAGAATTAATATTTGAGAAAGTTGGCTCAATACTCTGGCTAGGAATAGGGCTGTTTGGGAGCTTTTGTTGCAAAGGCCAAGGAGGAGGATAATAGCATAGAATAATAGTGAAGATATTTCTGTGTGTGTATGTGTGTGTGATAAACGTAAGTAGATGGTAGACCACATGTGAAAAAAAGCATAAAACTTTGGTTTCTTCATTTGATCTTAGCCAAAAGGCTGAGAAGTGATGAAACTTTGGTTTCTCAAAGTTTAATTCTCAAAACAGTTATTGTACTTTTTTTTTTTTTGCTGTTAAATACTGCTCTGTGAGATTTTTTCCATTTTTGCCTTACAGTGCTTGTTTTGGCCTTCTCAGGCCTCTTCCTCTCTCCTGCACCATAGACTCGATGAGAGTAGGAGAGTGTTTTCAGCTGTCTCTTAAATATGGACATAGTGACTACAGAAAAGACTTGT